GAGAAGGCACAACACACACTGATTTTCCTTAGGTTTTTGAAAGATTTTGGCCTCTTGGGGGGCTCCTTGGAGGCCTCGGAGGGCACTTGAAACCGTCTTGGGGCCGTCTTGAGGCCTATTGGACGCGTGTCGGAGGCTATCTTGGCCCGTCTACCGCTATATTGGGCTATCTTGGAGGCAATTGTGGAGTCTCTGGGGCCCTCCTGGAGCGATCTTGGGCCAAGAAAGACGCTCTGACACATCGGGATCCCCCCCGTCCAGACGCAGGGAGGGGGGGGAGGTAAATCTCCCGAACAGGGAAAGGGAGGAGGTTGGAAAAGGAAACGCGCTAGACCACCTGCGCCCAGAGGGCTGGTGGGATTCGGCCACATCCGCAGCCTCGAGGTGCGGTAAGGCTGGCCGAAACGAGCAGCGAGAGGGGAAGGAGAGGGTAGGCTCGGAGGGAGGGGGCGAGGAGCGGAGGGAGCAGCGCCAAGACAACAACAAGCAGCTGGAGCCTCGGTCCTCGACCTTCGAATGGTCCGATCGGGCCATTCGGAGTCGACCCTGGGCCCTCCGGGCCCCTAGCTGCTCCTCGAGCTGCGCCGCCGCGGCGACGAGGGCGCTCGAGCCTCGGCCCTCGACCCTCGAATGGATCCGCTCGGGGTCCTCCCGGGGCCCGTCCTGGCGGGTCCCTCCAGCCGCGCGCAGCCGCGGCGACGGCAGGCCCCGCCCGGCGAGCTCGCAGCAGCCTCCGACTTGCCGAGCTCTCGGCAGCCCTCCGACAAGCCACTCGAAAGCGATGACAGGGATGGGTACGTAACCTTCCCGAGGGTACCCTTGCAGCCTTGCCTCCTCGGTGCATCCGTGACCACTTTCGATGGCCAGCCCCTCTTCAAAAGCTTCGACATGCGCTTCCCGGGGGCTTGCATGCTTACCGCGCATCCTTACTATCAGTTTTGATTGTACTTTTTTTTTTTTTGCCATTTGAGGGGGTTTCTGTGGAACTCACGTTATCCTGACCCCCGGCGCGGGAGTCAATGGCCCCGCCGACTGCCTCCCCTGTTCCGTTTCGGGCGAGATCCGGGCAATCCGGCGAATCCGGCAAATCCAGCGACGAATTCCAAACTGGCGCCCTCGCGTGGAACATCCTCAGAAAAACCGGCCCGCCTCCGGACCTGCCCCAAGGAGGCCCTTAGAGGCCCCTCTTCCATTTCAGGCGAGATCTGGAAAATCTGGCGAATCCGGCGACGAATTCCAAACCGGCGCCCTCGCGTGGGGCATCCTCAGAAAAACCGGCCCCCAGACCCTCCCCAAGGAGGTACTCAGAGGCCCTCTTCCGTTTCATGCGAGATCCGGGAAATCTGGCGAATCCAGCGACGAATTCCAAACCGGCGCCGACATCCTCAGAGTTTTGCAGCCTGCAGGCCCCTTTGTTCTGGAGGCTGCCTTTGGGGGTGCCTCTGGGGAGGCTGCCCTGTTCCGTTTCAGGCGAGATCCGGAAAATCTGGAGAGTCCGGCGACGAATTCCAGACCGGCGCCGTCGCGTGGAACATCCTGACAAAAAAAACAGCTTCCTGACTTGAGAGGCCCTCAGGGGCCCATTCGTTCCGTTTCAGGCGAGATCCGGGCAAGTCCGGTGACGAATTCCAAACCGGTGCCCTCGCGTGGGACGACAAACCGGCCCCCCAAGGAGGCTCTCAGAGGGCTCCCTGTTCCGTTTCCCGCGAGATCCGGGAAATCCAGAGAGTCCGGCAACGAATTCCAGACCGGCGCCGTCGCGTGGGACATCCTGACAAAAACAAGCCCCCAGAGTTTCCCCAAGAGGCCCTCAGAGGCTCCTTTTTGTTCCGTTTCAGGCGAGATCCAGGCAAGTCCGGTGACGAGTTCCAAGCCTCCACCCTCGCGTGGGCCCCCGGACCCTCCCCAAGGAGGCCCTCAGGGCTCCCTGTTCCGTTTCCCGCGAGATCCGGGAAATGCAGCGAAGCGGGCGACAAATTCCAAACGTCAGAACAGGAAAAAATTCATAAACACAAAGGGTTTTATTGGTTTTACTCCAGAAGGGGGCGTCGTTGAGAGGGTGCCTGGCACGGATGCGGGGATCGGGGTGGCGTCGGTGTTTGAAGCTGGCGGTTTGCGTGGCAAGGGCGTTTAGCTGGTCGCATTTGTTCGGAACGCGTGACGGGTGGAAAGGCCGCTCACCAGCAACTGGCAGTCCTGTGCCCGCGGGCCAGAACAAATCGTCGCGCGCTCGCAACGGGGTGCGAGAAAGGGGGTTGGGAAGAGAGCGCGAGTCTCATTCCCAAAAAGACCCTTCGATAGGCAGCAAACAAATATTGTTCTATTCATCTGCCGCACGGCCAACCGAACGAACGAACAACTGTCTCGGCGCGCAGTGTTGGCTTCGCTTGCGCGCATCCTGGTTTGCTTCCGTTGCTTCCTTCGTTTCTGTCTCGCCCTCCTCCTTTTCCTCTTCCCCTGCTTTGCCTTGTCCCGCCCCCCCATCCTTTCCAGCTCGGAGCTGTCACCGCGCGCGAAGAGCGCAACCCAAAGGGCGTTGCTGTAATTCCTCTGTGTGCCACGAAGTCTCGTGTAATTCCTTCGTGTGCGGTCTGGTTACACTGCCAACGCGGGGCGCACACAAAGGAATTTCTTTTGTGTACAATCGTCTTCGCCTTCCCCGCAAAAGCACGCGCGATTCCTTTGTGTAGAGCTTGCTTTCCCGCCTCGAGGAGCGCACGGGGCCTGGCGCTACAATCGCAAGGCCGCGGCGCCTGGCAGTGTGATGCAGCTGCGCCGGATGCCACGCCCAAAACGATCCTACGTGGATTTTTGGCACTTCTGCCGAAATCGTGCTGGCAGCTGGCCAGCCACATCGCAGGCCCTGCATGCCTGCGCGCGCTACTGCGTTCTGCTGCCGCGACGCGTGCTGCTGTCAACGTATGAACAAACTGACGTTGCACGGTGGTTTGGCTGCGCCAAACCACCATGGAATGTTCGTTGGTAGCAGAGCTTGGGATTTTGTCGCCGCCGACAGCGTTGCCACACCATGCGTGTCAACTGCATATTAAAACGCGGCCGTGCATCAACGTTGGTTCGGATCGTTGGAGATCCAATGGCATGTGTGCACATGCGTTGCACCGTTGGTGGTGCCAAAACTCTTTGTGAAATTCCTTTTGTGTGTTTTTTGTTGGCTCCTAGAACCGGCGCCCTCGCGTGCGACATCCTCAGAAAAAGCGGCCCCCAGAGCCATTGGGGAAATTTTTGGGGGGAGGGGAAAAAGGGCGCGGAGGAAAAGGGGGAGAGGGAGGAGGAGGAGGACAAGGAGGAGGAAGAGGAGGAGGAGGAGGAGGAGGAGGAGGAGGAGAGTCGGAGGAGGCAGAGGATGAAGAGCTGGAGGAGGAGGAGGGGGAGGAGGAGGAGGAGGAGGAGGAGGATGAGGAGGAAGAGGAGGAGGAGGAGGAGGAGGAGGAGGAGGAGGAGGAGGAGGGGGCTAGGGGAGGGGGAGGGGAGAGAGGAGGAGGTAGAGATTACCAGCGCGACAGCGGGGGGGGTGCCACGCCCGCCCGATCGTCACCCTCCTGCTCCACGCCCTTATGATCTTCACGCGCGTGCCCTTCACTCTCCTGATCCTCCCCCTCGCGAGCCTCGCCCCCCTGATCTTCACGCCCATTGTCATCTCGATCATTTTCGCTTCGCCCGCGAAGCACATGCCCCTTCTTGTATATACAGAAACTCCCGATGAACCGCAGAGCGGCCGGCTAGCATAAAAATATCCGGGCGGATGTTTTCGATGTCGGTTTCCGGGGCGCGTTATCGGGGGGGTCGGGACGTCCAGGGCCGTGGAGTGACAACATTATACCAGGATATATCATATCGTTTCCAGGAGCTGGGCCGACTTTCGCGAGTGACGGCCCCGAAACGAAGATTTCGAGACTAAGATGGCGAAGCGCGAAAGAATCTCCCAACTGGATCGAAACTCCAGATGTTGAGCGCGAGCCCCTCAACCCGGAGGTCCCGCGCGGCGAACAAGCTCAACATATTATAGCATCACGACCGGAGCCCTATATTTCACTTTCCGAAGCAGAGTGCCCCTGGCGCCGCAGTGCGAGGGCCCCTGGCCCTGAAGTTTTGGGCGAGAAAGCGCCCGGTGCGAAGCGGCTGCAACGCTAGGACTTCAGGGCCCAAAACTCGAGGCATCTTGGGGCCAGGAAGATATCCACTGTATTATTTCATCGTTTCGGTCATTCCACCGGCCAATATTGCCTCGCCGTTTGGGGGCCGTGTTGGGGTCTCTTGGGGGTTTGTGGGAGGCAGTTTTGAGACCTCTTGGGGGCCGTGTTGGGGCCTCCTCTTGGTGGCCTCTTGGGGCTTTTTGGGGTGCCTCTTGGGGGCCCCTCAGGGCCTCTTGGGGCCTCCTTAGAGCGCGCCGCAAATTTGGATAGGGCCCAGATACCAGAATGTATATTAATGCGGTTGCCAACATCGTCAAAGCACTGAGCCCTCGAGCCCCCGGCGCGCGCTGCCGCGCCCGCGGGCGAAGACAGGAGCGCGAGCCCGAGGAGCGCCCAGCCGCGGCGGCGAGCGCCCACCGATGAGCTCCCAGAAACTTCCGATCTTGGCATCGCTCGGGAGTGTGCGTTTTTTTTTTTCGGCGAGGACCATCGGACAGCCCTGTGGGTCATCTTACGAATGCGCTCACGAAGCCGACAAATGCACAGGGAATGGACGTCCGAGCGATGTGACGGCGCCGACGTCGTCCCAGGCCTCCGCTGCTGCAACTGTATGCCCAGCGCGGGGTCCCCACCTGAAGCCCCGAACTTTCCCCCAGGGCAGGCTTGTCATCCCGAGCCGTCTTGTTGACGGCGCCAGGGCCAGGCGAGGGCCCCCAAGGGCCGGAAACGGCCAAAACCCAGCGGTCGCGCTCGTCCCGCGACGCGGGCATGTGCCGTCGGGCCTCGAGCCCTCGAGCCACCGGGGCGCTCGCCGGCGCCCCGGCGCGCGCGCGCGCGCGGAGCCAGGAGCGCGAGCTCGAGGCGCGCCTCGCGGAATCGATCCGCCAGCTCGACGAGGAGCGGCGCCAGCGGCTCGCCGCCGCCGCGGCCGCCGCGCGTGCGCCGCCGCCCGCGGCGGAGGCCTCCGGCGCCTCGCCCTCGGCGGCGCGCGCCAAGGGGTGGCTCGCGTCGTGTTCGGGCGTCTTCGCTGCCTGGCGCCTCAGTCGTTTTGAGCCGGGCGTTTTGCTCGCCCGGTCTCGGGGCCCCTCAGGGGCCTCGCAGACCGGCTCAGCTCCAAACGCGGCGCAAGAGCAGGCGGGGTCGAGGGCCCCACCATGTTGCAAGTTGTTCCGCGACGTCGGATCTCAGGGTAAGTTTTCTGACGCTTCATGCGTTCCTGGAGGTTCCCCTGCCTCGGGATGCGTTCCAGCCGCTGCGCCTCGCCGAGGGTGTTCTGGGGCTTCCCAGATCGTCCCGAAGTACCGAGCGGCTGCTAGAGGCCCGAGCTACGGACCGGCAGCCGGACCGCTCGCGTCGTGAGCAGCATCGCGACGGGAGATTTCTTCCGGCACGAGGCACTGGGCCTCCTGGTGCCTTCGCCTGGCCCCAGGGCAGTCAAGCAACGGCTCGGGATGGAGAACCAACCGCCAGGAATGGCTCCACAGACCTCCATGGGGAGCCACTTCCTTGGAAAAACACGACGGCCGATGTCTTGCGATGCGGGGCGATCCTCCGACCCCCCTTGGAAGAAGAATCAACGGCACACGTAAACATAAGTTCTCGGGCCTCCGAGAAGTCATGTTTACCACCCGACGGGTAGGAGGTAGAGGTCGTTAGATTTTAAGAACAGATTTCCCGACCCGCCCACTCTGCATATCGCGGCCGCCAGATCCCCAGGTCCACCGAGAATCCCCGAGACTCCCGGCCCTCCCGACCCGACCCGCCCACTCTGCATACCGCGGCCGCCAGATTCCTAGGTCCACCAGCAATCCCCGAGAATCCCGCCCCTGTGAGTATAACAGAACAGAACAAAACTAATAGTACACAGCGTACGAGAACATAAACTGACCGAGCAAAGCATACTAATTGAACACAGCATGGCATAACATGGCATACCACATCATGTTAAATGACACAACGTTGTGTACTTCCATAGCCAAGCATCAAGCAGCGTATCATACCATATGATAGCATGGCATAACTGTCCATGCCATACCATACCATGGCAGACCATGTCATACCATAACACAGTGTCACATGCCACAACATACTATAACATAACAACTCATAACACAGCACAACGGGACTTATCACATACTCATGTACCAGCACATACCATACCATACCACCTTAAACCCGAACGAAACATGGCATATCATTACCTCACACAATGGATCGTCATATCATATCAAAGATTTGCCATTGTACAGGATACCAGAACGGCTGTTCTATTGCAACCACAGCGGTAACGAACGTAATATACCACCTTGGATTATTACATGCCGAAGAGGAGTATCATTGCATAGCATAACATAATCGAATGAACATTGCACAACGTAGCCAGCATACCACGACACACATGTGTTGTATGATTGCCCCCACGGACGACAACGAATGTGACATACTATCACGTATTGTTACACAGTTGAAACTTTAGGAACATAGCATCACTGAACGTATTGAAAATATCACAGCGTGAACAGCACATCATAACAGAGCACAGTTTAAGAGCACAACCTAAAATATCAGTTCATCTTATGGTTGTTCACAGCAGAGTATACTTCAACCTACTAGAACGAATCACCACTGAAGAGGAACATCGTAACAGAACTGGCCGTACTTTAGTATCCGCCACCGCGCCTACAGCGGCTGGTGTGCGCCAGGCCACTTGGCTTCGTGCGATGCAATAGTAAGGGACAACCGGCAAATCAAGCCCAAGATGCGTTCAATCGTGTGGCCAAGTCCCTACTTTTTTGGTTTTCCAGGCAGGAGATGGTCCTAAACACAGGGTCCGCGGAGGGGGGTCCATTGCCCTGCCCCCCACTCCTCCCAAGGCGCCCCCCCCGCCGCCCGAGCGCGGTGGCGGCATCGCGCGGCAGCGCAACTGGATAATCAAATACGACGTGCGCGCCGAGGTCAGGCTTTCCACAGGCACCAACTGTTGCAGCAACGACCAATTGGACGATGTATCTAACGTGCCAACCGTCACGACGTCACGACGGCCCCTCGAGAACACAACATACCACTACGGTATAACATATCATAGCATGATGGATTCTAGCATCGTTGACTACTGTTGAAAGGAATGACATATTCCTGGCGCCCTGTCAATAGCAGCATCCACGCCGACCTAAGGCTGGCCACAGGACAAGCAACAGGCGCAGCAACGACCGAGCAGACGACATATCAAACGAGAACGGCGTCATGACGTCACCCCGCCCCGTCCAGAGTAACACAAAGCACACCACGTGCGCACATTGAAGAACGGAACCGAACATAACTTCACAGAGTATATTGGAGCAGAGACCGAATAATGCCGTCCTATCATACGCGACATGCGCGACGGCCCCCCGCTGGCGACATAAGCAAACAATAGCAACACCGACCGAAACGCCACAGGCGCCACAACGTCATGCTAGCTGTCAGCCTGTCCAGAACAGAACCTGACATAACAGAACGTCAGAACTACAGTGGGGCAGGACCCACAGCGGACATAATATAGCAAAATATCATACAGCTGCCACCAATCAACGGCGTGTCATCAAACGAACGCTATAACATAATCGAGCGTCCCATGTTATAGTCAAGCGCGACGTTCACGCCGAAGTCTTCATTGGCCACGGGAACACACAGGCGCAGCGCTGACGGATTGGTCGACGTATGTAACGTTACAGGCGTCACAACGTCACGCGGGCCCTACGGCAGAACATATTACATGTGTGACTAAGGAGAACTCGGTGGAATCTAGCCGAATCGAATATTGTTGAATACAGCAGGGGCATATTCATGGCGCCTTGTCCAAAGCAGCATCCACGCCGCCTGCAAACAGGCGCAGCAACGACCGATCACACGACATATCAAGCGTGACAGGCGTCATGACGTCACGCCGCCCCGTCGACAGCAACACAGCACACATCACATGTGCGCAGAACAGACCGGAGCCGAACACAGCGTTACATATACCGAATCATGCCGCGTCCTATCATGCGCGACTGCGCGACGGGCCCACGTTGGCGACAATAACAAAAAGTAGCGGCACCGACAAAATAGACGACTGATCAAACGTTACAAGCGCCACGACGTCTTGCCGGCCCGTCCAGAACAGAACCTGTCATAACTGAACGTCAGTAGCTGCAGTGGGGCAGGATCCAAGGCGGACAGAAGATACCACAATATCATACAGCTGCCGCCAATCCACGGCGTTTCATCAAACGAACGCAGAACATAATCGAGCGTCCCATGTTATAGTCAAGCGCGACGTTCAAGCCGAGGTCTTCGTTGGCCACAGGGACAGACAGGCGCAGCGCCGACCGATTGGTCGACGCGTTTAACGCTACAGGCGTCACGACGTCACGCTGGCCCAGCGACAGAAGACATTATATTTGTAACAGAGCAGAATATGTTGGAATCTAGCAGAACCGAGTACCGTTGAATGCAACAGCGGCAGATCCGCGGCGCCTTGTCAAAAGCAGCATCGAAGCCGCCTCAAGGCTGAGCGCAGGACAAACAACAGGCGCGGCAACGACCGATTAAATGACATACCAAACGTGACAGGCGTCACGACGTCGCGCCGCCCCGTTCAAAAAGCAACGCAGAAAACGTCACACGCGCTCAGAATACGAACACAACGTCACAGTATATACATATACATATATATATATACACATAAAGGCCGAATAATGCCGCGCTATATCACGCGCGACATGCGCGACGAACGCATGTTCACGACAGAAACAAACAGTAGCAGCACCGACGGATCAGACGACATTTCAAACGCCACAGGCACCGCGACGTCATGCCAGCCCGTCCAGAACAGAAACTGACAGAACTGAACGTTAGTAACTGCAGTGGGGCAGGATCCAATGCGGACAGAAGATACCACCATATCATGCAGTTGCCACAATTCCACGGCGTCTCATCAAAAGAACGCTATAACATAACCGAGCGTCCCATGCCATTTGGCCAAGCGCGACGTTCGCGCCGAGGTCTGGTTGGCCACGGGAACAAACAGGTTCAGCGCCGACCGATTGGTCGACGCATTTAACGCTGCAGGCGTCGCGACGTCGCGCTGGCCCAGCGACAGAAGGTATTGCATCTGCAACAGAGTGGGACACCGTGGAACCTATCAGAATCGGGTATCGTTGAATACAGCAGCGGCAGTTTCATGCTGCCCTGTCGAACGCAACATCCACGCCACCCCAATGCTGGCCGCGGGACAGACAACAGGCGCAGCACCGACATATTAGACAACGTACCGAGCGCGACAGGCGCCATACGTCAGGCCGCCACGTCGAAAGCAACACAGAATGCATTGCATGTGCACAGAACAGACTGTAGCCGAACAGAACGGCACAGAGTATATCGAAGTAGAGGCCGAAAAATGCCGCGTCCTATCATGCGCGACATGCGCGACGAGCCCGCTATGGCGACATTGCTGAACAGTAGCTGCGCCGACCGATTAGACGACAGATCAAACGCCGCAGCCGCCGCGACGACATGCCAGCCCGTCTAGAACAGAGCCTAACAGACTAGAGCGCCAGCAACGCAGTGGGGCAGGATCCAAGGCGGACAGAAGATCGCACATTAGCGTGCAGTTGCCACCAACCCACGGCGGCATAAAACGAACGCTATAACATAATCGAGCGTCCCATGTCGTGGTCAAGCGCGACGTTCACGCCGGCGTCTGGTTGGCCGCGGGAACAGACAGGCGCGGCGCCGACCGCTTGGTCGACGCATTCGACGCTGCAGGCGTCGCGACGTCACGGTGGCCTGGCGACAGAAAATATCACATTTGTAACATGTTAGAACATAATGAGATCTGACATAATCGAATACCGTTGAACACAGCAGCGGCAGATTCATGGCGCCCCGTCAGAAGCAGCATCGAAGCCGCCTCAAGGCTGAACACAGGACAAACAATCGGCGCAGCAACGACAGATTA